GGTTTATTTTCACCCCTTAAATCCTTTCTGCTTTATTTTTTTTTTTTTAAGATTTTATTTATTTGACAGAGACCATGAGAGAGGGAACATGAGCAAGGGGAGTGGGAGAGGGAGAAGCAGGCTTCCTGCTGAGCAGAGAGCCCGATGTGGGACTCGATCCCAGGACCCTGGGACCATGACCTGAGCCGAAGGCAGATGTTTAAATGACTGAGACACCCAGACGCCCCCCTTTCTGCTCTATTCTTGACTGAGCATTTATGACCTTCTAATGTCCTATATATTTCATTTATTAATTTTGATTTTATACCTGTTTATTCCACTAGAATGTGTCTTCCATGAAGACATAATTTTTATCTTTTTATGGCTACTATTATTTGTACATCTAAACTTACAGCTAATATCTCCTAGGTACGCAATAAGTATTTGTTGATTGAATTAATTAATACTCCCTCTAGAAATAGCAATTCTAACCAACTCCAGAGTCCCTGAATTTGTTTTAGGTGTTGAAGGGCAGAAATTGAAGATATAGGACCAGAGGTTTTCAAAAATCTAAATCATAGGAATTGCCGTAATCATTCAGACTATGGACCTTCTAGACCAGTGTTTTGATGGGATGAATGTGATGGCGGGGCACGGCCTTTCTCTTTGACATCTGCCTCAAAGCTTGGGGTTAATCGTTCATTCAGCTAGACAGAATCCATCTTTCATCAATAATTAGCTCTGGGGATAAAACATTGAATGAGATATATGGCTCCATACTCTCATAAATCTTGTCATCCATAACTAGATCAACATTTTTTGGGGGGGAATTATTTATCTTTTCAGACTGTTCCAACCCTGTCAAGAAGCATGCCTTAACTTTACTATTTACTTTGTCATATAATTTTGCATCCAGAACCTTAAGAGAGTTTCTCAAGGAGGAGCCTACTGCCACATTGGCCTCTTCAGGCTTGGGCAATGAGGTTGAGCTTCTTGTCAGCATGGGTCCCTGGTGCTGCACATGGTTCACTATCTCAAAATCACATGCTCCTTTTAACTTACAGGGAAACTCTTTTATTGGTGACATGGGGTCAATGATGCTGGGTCAGTATGAGAGACAGACATAGTAGGGGTATATATGATGGTAAAAGAAAATGGGATAGAAAATTTCAGACTTGAAGTGTCTCTAAGTTTTTTTCTGCTGCCTGCTCTCCTCTCTTCTCTGATAATGGGTCTAGTGGTGAGTGTACCCCTAACACCTTGTATTAATTTCTCCCATGATTACATCCTAGAAAAATGGAAAGAGATGTCAGATGTAACTTTCTGTGTAACTTAGCAACATCATATATGAAAAGGATTAAGAGCGTTGGTCTATTATAAACTCAGAGTGAATTAACATTGAGATGAGGCTCTTGAGGGGGAGCAACAGTTATGTCCAAACTGAGGCTGGTGACGATCTCCTCACCCGAATGGATGTGGCAACCCCTGGGGCCCTGGGCTTGAGGAAACAGAGACCAGAATATACCCAGAATGAAGGCACTCAAAACGGGGTTTGGATGAGGAGCAGTCGACAGGATGGAGGATGTTTATTATAGAGAAGACTCAGAAGGACTGTAAGCACTGCTTAAGAGCTTCCTTCAAGTGATGGAAGGGCTTTGCATATGGGAGAAGCATGAGACCATTCTGGAGCCTCTGGGCTTAGAATGAGGATGTGTGGGTAGAAGGCGGGTAAGGCGTGTTCAAAGATGGCTGCCCGGGGAGCTGCCTGTCTCAGCGCCTGATTCCTTAGGCAGAATGGGAGTCCTGACTTATAGCCAAGGAGCTCAGATACCTATTGAAGCCAGCCTAGGGCAGAGTAAGCAGATAGGCTGACCAGGAGGAAGAGCAAATGACATCTCTAGTTTGGGATCATCATCTGTGATCCTTCTTTCCCCAATTTGCCTTCAGTGGGGCTTTTTGTTTTTCAGCTCCCTTTGGTTTTCATTTTTTTTTTTTTTTAAGTCTTTACCAGTTTAATTAAGCATGACATTCCCACCAGTACACAAAATTGTCTTAACCTGTTGCGACAGTTGTTTGGGGAGTGATTATTCCATCAGGAAAAGCATACTTCGCCAAAAACAGAACATAGACTTTACAATGCTCTTTTCAAAGAGTTTTTGGTTTTCAATGTAAGAGAGAAGAACCGCATTTAATTACCACGTCCCTTGCATACGGGACGTATGACAGGCTGTACCAGGTCATGGACGAGAACTGCAGTTTGCAGAATAACAAGCCCAGTTCCTTCTTGTGCCACCAAAGAGCAGCACGCAAGGTAAATATGAAATGCGAAAGCATCATAATTGTTGCAAGTAATCTTATCGTTTCAAACGTTTTCTTCGGTTGCCTCATGGGTCCCATTATAAAGTATGTACCGGCTAACACAGCAAGATTTCCAAATGTATAAAACACTGCAGAAAGCTTCATGCCACCAGGAAGCCCCAGCAATCCAGTCCCGAGGATAGAGAGTAAAATGCTGCACACGAAGCAGATGACCAACCACTTCAGCCTGGTGTTGAAACTGAGGGAAGAGGCAGCCAGGACCTGCGCAGTCAGCCCTACTCCTCGTCATCCTGGCTGCTCAGGAACCCCCACAGCTCCTCCATGGCCCTGCTCCCCACGCACTGGCGGCCCTGCTCACGGGACCCCCACACCCTCCCTAATTTTTCAGCTCCCTTTAAAACATTTGCCCATACCCATTGACCCCAAAATTCAAATCTTGGAAGTTTGTATTATAGAAGTAAAAATACAAATATTTAATGACATGTGCACAAGGCTATATATAAATAAAATTGTATTGTAGAAATGTGGAAACAATCTGAATGATAATTAAAAGAGATTAGTGGAATACATTCTGCTGTATCCATAATATAAATTATAATGCAGTTAGTAATGACAATGAGTTAGATCTAGGACTATTGTCCCAGAGGGATGAGCAGAATATAGAATAAAGTGAGAAAAGCAAGAGAAACATATGTAGTGTGATCTCATTTTGTGAGAATAAATTATAATAAAAAAATCCCTCACATATGTAATCATATTGGCATGTATTTGTGTGAGTTTGGCAGAAAGGGTGGAAGAATATAGATGAAGTTGTTGACGGTGGTGGGAGAGTTTGGGGTAAGGTGGGTGGGACTCAAGGGACAGAGGGGCAGGAATAGAGACAAAGTGAAGGAAAGTGAAAGGGGATGGTTTATCCCTTCATCTGTCTATCCATCTGTCTGTCTATCCACCTGTTACTTGTCCATCGATCTATCCATCTGTATCCATCCACTATCTTTCCATCTGTCTACTATTATCAATCATCTTCATTGGCTGTGCTGAAACACGTATTAATTTTGAAGACTAATAAAGAAGAAAAAGAAAAATTCCTTTTTTATGTTATTTCCATTTTTTGCTCTGTTGTTCTTCTCTTCTGAAAAGTGTCTCAACCTTTCTACTAAGGACAATCCAGAGATTTCATAATAATAATAAAAAAAACATCAGGTTTAATCCTTTAAAGGTGGTGACCTAAACAAATTAAAAGAAATCTGGGGAATGTGTAAAGAGTGGATATTTTGAGTCAAAACTGAAAGTCTAGATATCACGAAAGAGAAATGACTTGAGAATCACTGCTATTTTTTCTTTGTTCTTTGCTGTATAGATGGTGTTTATTTTTCTCCTAGTGCTCCAGGAAAAAATGTTTCCTTAAATCTAGGGAACACAGGTTTGGGTTAGGAGCATCCAACTTAGTTAAAAAATTTGCTAGTTCCTGGTGGGGAAGTAGGGCATTGAATGGAAAGAGTTCTGACATCTGTGTGTGTGGGCGTATGTGTATAATCGGTTTTTCTCTGCTGAGATGGTCAGAAAGATGCTTGTGTTTTCCTGTGATTTGGATGCTTTCTTTCAAATTATTTTTAAGAACTGTTTTCCATATTAAATTATACTCATTATGCATTCATATTTAATGCTGATAGTTCTTTCCACATAAAGAATTTGTCTACATACAGAATAGCCCCAGGCATTATGAGATGGCTGGGGATTTAACCCCTCCTTATTATGAAAGAGGATTTGGGCAGGAATAGGATCCTGTTTCATATTTGCATTTGGACGTAGACTTGGAGTTGATCCCAAGTAGCCGTACCGATACAAAGGCAAAACACAAGCGGGTATGTAAGATCCATAGAAATGATAACGCTAACCACCGTATTTCTTTCATTTTAAGGTGTTCATTTTATATGCTAATTGAAATTTGAATGTATCTTCCTGCTCTGTGTGCATTTATTAGATTAATATTGTAAGTCAACACTGTTTTTATAATTAAGGGTCTCACAAGTCCTGTAGAATCCACTTAGCTGGTCCATGAGTTTCAGATACTTAATGCACTTAGAACATTCTAGAATCATGAACCTCAGTCTGCGCAGTGCTGTCTTGATTCATACAAATCAGGAAGTTATAAAAGTGTTTGTTTTCATAGTGACTGCCTCATAAATAATACTAAAATAATACTAAAAATATACAAAGTAGGATCTGTACATGGCTGACTCCATTTTAAAATTGCGATTTTAGTTCAAAGGCACCATCGTTTTGGGAAAACTAGTCATGTGCAGTGACATTTTTCCACCTCACAGTCTGAAAAATATCTCACTAGGCCCAGACCTGAGTGGGCAATTTATCTGTCACAAGTGGGCGGGAAGAATCGGAAGAAAAAAATGTTGTTTGAAGCTATGACCTGGCGAGAATGTGATGTGGAAAGTTGTGCCAACTGACTAGGTTGCTCGTGTCCTGCATTTGCTTTGGGCGTCCTGTCAAGCATTTTCTTTGAGTTTAATTGTCACTGTGGCTTTGTTTTCTTGGGCGTAAGATCTGCTTCCTCCAGAAAAATCACCTTTTCCCCTGCCCCCACCCCCAAGCTAGGCTGCAACTTCATGGCTGACTTTCCTGTGTGTGTTGGAGTCCATGGTCTTTTGCTGCTTTTCTCATGCCTTTTCTTTATGATGTTTCAGCTCATCCACCATACACCATGTGCTTTAGAGTGAAATTCTACCCACATGAACCCTTGAAGATTAAAGAAGAGCTCACAAGGTATTTTTCGTTTGTTTGTATGTTTAACCTGCACCTTTAACCAGCCAGCACCTCCAAGTCCTACCAGGCTAGATGTGCCTCCTGTCTAGAACAGAATGTCTCAACGAAGCAGATACTCAGTTTGGCATTTTGGCTTGGAATGTTTCTCTCGCACTTAATTGTCTTGGGATTTTTCAAACAGTTGTCATTGGGAGTGTAATTAACTGCACACAAAAAAAGCGGTGGTTATAAGGAGGAGGTATTCTCTGAAAACATCTGACAGTGGGGTGCTAAAAATAAATAGATAACTGTCTTTAGGGTACAGGCAAATTCATAGCTAGTGCAGCCCCTAGGGACAATCTTTGGGATCTGAGCTGTTCTGGAAGGGAAAAGATCGCTGGGTAGCACTAACTGCTTGTCACCCCACATTCCTCTTGCTGAATGGTCGACCATGGGGCTGTTTTCCCTCCACTTGTAGACTCTTCTCAGGCTGACGCGGAATTTTCCAATTCTCCGTCTCCTCCCTTCTGATCTTCCTGGGCTGGGGCCATATTCAGTCCTCCTCCTGGGGTTTTGCTTTTGAGAACAGCCCCAGCCAGTGTAGCTGAGTAGGGTCCCAGGAAGGCGATAATGCTTAGTTCTTGACGAGACTCTGATTAGGTGACAAAAATCACTGTGCACAATCATGTCTTGAAATAATCAGCATAGGTCCGAATGCAACAGAGATGCAAGGTGATGCATTGGGTTATTGGATATTTTGCTTTCTCCTTATTCCCGAGTCTTCAGTAAAGCTTGACCACCGTGGCACCGAGGTGACTTGTAAGGGAGCAGATGGTGCCATTCTCTATTATTAATTTGCACACAGCCATTAGTGAGGTCTGTGCTTAGGGATGGGGGCAGGTGGAAACGAGGGACACATAAATAATGGCCATTATAAGTGGTGGTGGGCATTTTGCAATCTGACCTGCTTTTTAAAAATATTAAGGTAAAATTCACGTAACATAAACTGATTTCACCACTTCCAAGTGTACAATTCAGGGTCGTTAAGTACATTCATATTGTTGGGTAACCATCACCGATATCTCATTCCAAAACATTTTCTCATCACCAAATAGGACCCCTGTACCCATTCCAAAACATTTTCTCATCACCAAAAAAGACCCCTGTACCATCATAAATGAGTCAGCTGCTCATTTATTTTGCCTATTCTGGACATTTCATATAAGTGGAATCAGGTGATATGTGTCAGGGGCTGCATGAACTACCAAAAAAAAAAAAAAAACAAAAAACCCCAAAAAACCCAACCAAACAAAAAACCAACCATGTTTGTCCTGCCCTCTGGGTGCCGATAATGTAATGAGAAAGATTAAATCAAATACTGATGCCGGGCATTATTTAGTCAGATGTCAAAACGGTTCACTTTCGTCATTTGTTTTCTTTGTAATCTTGTCTGGAGGATAAAAATTGAATATGTGTCACGATGCAAGTTAAGGATGGATCTTTTGTTGTTGAGAAAAGTCCCATTTGAAAGTAGAAGAATACAAAGTGTTAGTTAATAACTCCAGTCCAATTCTTCTTAATTGGATTTGCTACCATTTCCCTGCATTTGACTGAATAGCTGAGGTATGAATAGTGGAAGGTTGTGAACATTTTTATGTCTCCAAAGGAAATTAAGACAATGCTCTGTCCTTGCACAGACAGAAATGGGCCTTTCTTAGTCAAAACAATCCTTGGAATTCAAAACGAATCTAGAAACTGTGGAATGCCCCCGGTACTTACGGTTTAAACTCTATCTTAAAATCAGAGAGGGGGACAAACCATGAGAGACTCTTGACTCTGGGAAATAAACTGAGGATTGTGGAAAGGGAGGTGGGTGGGGGGATGGGGTAACTGGGTGATGGGCATTAAGGAGGGCATGTGATGTGATGAGCACTGGGTGTTATACGCAACTAATGAATCATTGAACGCTACATCAAAAACTAATGATGTACTATATGCTGGCTAATTGAATGCAAATTTTTAAAAAGTTGCATTCTAAAAAGTTTCATTTTTCTTTTGATAACTTGTTATTTTGTTGTAAGGTTACTATAAAGTTTAAGAAGAATTTGCTACATGAGAACTTAAGATCACGTTCATGACCTTGCTTAGAGGTAAAGAAACATTGGGGAAAAGGCAGATGGGAAAGAGTGAAACAACAAATACTCATAAAAAAGGATATTTGAGATCACTTTTTATCCTTCATTTATCTCTCCATTCACACAGTCCTCTTAAAATTCTTTAGATCTCTAGGGCTTTTATAAATGTTGGATACAATTGAATGTAATCAAAGTATTTTTGTTTTGTTTTGTTTTTAAGTAAGCACCATCTTTAAATTCATGTTAGATAGAGAAGCAGTATTGTTAATGATGGCACCAGAATGTATGCCCCAGATCCTCTTATGCTTTTGTTGCTTAATCTTTTCATACAGGAGTGATACTAAAAGGAGATGCATTATTATTATTTTTTGGTGGCTATTATATTAAAAAATGAGTATCTGAACCTGAAGCTATTTCTAAGGCTCAGTGGATTATGTCGAATGCACAGTAATCCATGATTATCTCTAGAGATCACTGATCCCAAGGACCCAAGCTTGGATGTTATGAAAGCAGATTTTCTTTTCTCTGGAAGCTTCCGTCAAACTTAATTTCAGAGATATGAGATGAGAATCCAAACCTCTCATTCATCAGTACATAGCTATTTGAAACTATTTTTCACTACTAACCTCATCAAAAAGGAATACTTCTTGTTCAATGTGTAACATTTAACAAGTAGACAAAAAGCTTCATTTGGCCTGGAAGTTTGTAGTCTTTAGAAAAGGAAAGATTGGATCCTATTTGGGTGACCTTGGTCATCTGAATGGTCTGTGGCCAAGGGCCACGAACTGAGGTCTCCAGACCAGCAGCACCTGGGAACCTGGCCCCGGTTCCAGACCTGGGACAGGGCTCAGCAATCGGAACTTTCATGAGCCTTCCAGGTAATTTTAGAGCATGTCAGAATTTGAGAACTACTCTAAGAAAGTTGATTTTCAAAAGTATTAGCTTCTTTTGGCAGATGCTACAGTGCACACCTCAGTGGGTTTCGTGTATTCCCAAAGTTGTGCGACCATCGCCACCATCTAATCCCAGAACGTTTCTATCAGCCAGTACCCATCCAGTCATTCCCTGTTTCCCCTCCTTCTCACCCCGCCTCCCCGGCAGCCATTAATCTACTCAGTCTGTCTAGATTTCTCCATTCTGGACATCTCATGCAAATAGAATCCTATAATATGTGGCCTTTGATGTCTGGCTTCTTTCCACTTAGCGTACTGTTTTCAAGGCCCATCCATGCTGTGTGAGTGGATCCATACTTCGTCCTCTTTACGGCTGAATACTATTCCATTGTGTGGATATTCCACTTTATTTTATCCATTCATCAGTTGATGGGCATTTGGATTTTTCTACTTTTTAGTATTATGAAAACTTGTGTACATGTTTTTGTGAGGACCCAGATTCCAATTCAATTGGATTTGGGGGCAGGGTCCACAGCTTGGTATTTTTTTGTAAAGCTCCCCCAGGTGGTTCTAATGTGCAGTCAGCGTGGAGAACCACTGGTTTGGAACCTAGGTACTCAAAGTGTGGACCATGGGCCTGCAGCACAGCCTCACCATTAGAAAGAGCTATTAGAAATATGGACTCCGATGCCCCACCCCAATCTCCTGAATCAGATTCCACATTCTCGAAGGATCTCTGGGTAGTTCATGTGCTCACTGAGGCGTGCGAGGCTCTCACATAGGGAGCTCTACAGGGTCCTTACCTACCAAGTGTAATGCTGTTTCTCTGGCAAATTGTGTACCAGACTCTGCATAAGACATTTCTTAGGGACTGCCTTTATTCCCTGCAAACAATTCATACAAAGTCAGGGACAAGGAGTGCCTGTCAGTTGAGCCTCTGCAGTATGCCCAGAGCCCAGTATACAACATAAAGCAGGTGTGGGACAGAGATTCGCCAAGTGCACACAGCAGTGAGCCCCTAATACTTCAGTGTGTCCAGTGTGCTGTAGATGATCCAGCGCCCAGCGTTGGGGAGCTCCAGTGCCCTTGGGCCGACAGCACTCGTGATCTCAGCACCTTAGTCACGCTGTCTGAATGGGGCTGTGCACATGGCTCCTCAGAGACTGAGTCGAGAGCAGATCACTGGAGCACTGGAATCGATAACTGGGACCAGCTGAGTGCTGCCCCCACCTGGCTCCAAGAACCCGGAATAAAAAAAAAGATTGGTCTTTGAGAATTAAAGGGAACTAAACAAAGAATCTGCACACACTTTACCTGAAGGGTGCACTTTAGTCAGAAGCAGTAGACCCCAGGCGTGAGCCTTGGAGGAAAGAATCAACTTGGCTAAGAGATGGAGTAAATCTGAAGAGGGCTTGATCAGCCCGGAGAATGAAAGGGGCAGTGACCAGGTGAGCCTGAGCCAGGGGTAGCAAACCCACCTGTGCCCCTTTCCCCTGGCTGAATTGGGCCTGTGTGTATTTTCTGTTTGGCACCACGGTGTTTTTTAAAAACAGAATTGGTTGCAACATTTAAAATTCAAAGGATTTTCCCCCTAAATCCAGTCTCTGATTTTCTGGAAAAGCGGGCTGTGCTTGGCCTGTTTTTCTGCGCTGTGACCCTGGGCTGGCTCTGCGTGGCCAGCTGACCCTTCATGGGAGCCCGCGCTCTCCATTCTGCCCCCCCCGGACCCCCTTCGCTCGGCCCATTTCACTCATGATCAGGTTCCCCTGGCTCTGTGGGCACCTGAGTTCGCCGTCCCTGGAGAGGGGGACGGGGCACTAACCAGAGGACACATCTAGTTGTGAACAAATTGGCTTTCTGGCCTCATAACCAAGTCCTTTTGAGATTGATTAACGTGAGTCGGTCTGCCCCTGAGACTCTTCTCTGGATACCGGTCGAGTCCATTCGTGGACTCTCCATTTCACACAGAGTGGGGGCCACCTGTACTGGGGGGAGGTGGGGTTGGCACCGCGTGGGTGTTCCTTCCAGGACCCGTGTCTACTGGGCCCTGTGGCTTTCCTCTGTCCTCATGTCTCTTTAAGAAGGGCCAGCCGCCCTCGGTCACAGTCACGTCAGATTTCCTGAATCCCGAGGGCCCCTTGGTTTCATCCGCTTGCCCTCTGAGGGGCTGGTGTGGTTCAGGCAGTGCGCAGGTGGATAGAGCATGAACAATCCTTCCACTTCTTCCAGGCCTCAGCCGAGACTTAGGGTGACTCTCGCTCGTTTTGTGTTGCAGGTATCTTTTGTATCTGCAGATTAAAAGAGATATTTTCCACGGTCGACTGCTCTGCTCCTTTTCAGATGCGGCCTGTCTGGGTGCCTGTATCGTTCAAGGTAAGTGTGGCCGTGGCTGCCCACCCCCTCTGAGGGGCTGTGGGGTGCTCTGAGCTCTGATCACCGGGCGCGGTGCCTGACGGGTACATTGAGGGGGAAAAGTCTGTTGGAGGGAGGGAGGTGTCAAAACGGTTTGAAATAAAATGTCAAAGCGTGTATATATATAAATGTATTTCTCTCTCTCTCTCTCTATATATATACACACATTCTATTTATTCTTTAGAAATACTTTAAAAATTAAAAATTATATACAAATTATAAAATTATACATATAAATAAATATAAATAGACAAAATATATACAAAAATAGATATTATATATAATCCTATGTGTAGAGACGTGTCCATGGGCAGCATCTCGAACTCTTCAGTTTTTCTAGCCATAGAGCACGATGAGGAGAGCGCCAGGCTCACAGTCTGTCATACTCAAGTCGAGTCTCACTTCCCCATCTACTGGCTATTTCAGCACAGACAAATTATCTCAGCTCTTTAAGAATATATTAAACGGGGTGGCGTGCCTCCTTCACAGAGACTTATTTTCAGGGTTGAACAAGCCCCAGAGGGTGGGGCAGTGGGAAGCAGTAAGCACATTATGACCCAGCTATTGGCTTCTGGATGTTTCCACCTATAAGAAAAAACCATCTGGAAAGTGGTCTCCTGGGCCGAAGGTGGTGCACGGCCATGGGGGTGGGCTCAGGACCCGAGCAAAGAATGACTCAGGTGTTCTGTTCCCCTGGGCCAGTTGGGAGGCAGCTGGAGCAAGGCCTGTTGGGAGGGACCCAGGTGATCCAGCCTTTTGTGGTGTGAAAGCTAATGACATATTTATGAGAGAAGGGGAGGAGAAGAGAAGGGAGATGGAGAGGAGGGGAGGGAGAGAGAGGAGGACAGTTATCAGGTAAGTGATCATGTCCTCTCTATAAAGGGTCTGGAATAACATAGGCACTTATGATGGGTCATAAGCACATCATGACCATCGTCTGCCTTCACAATTCCAAGCTTCATTCACAGCTTACGAGAGACGCTGTCATTCTCCTGGGGTTCCACTGTCACCCACGACTGTCCCCGTGGGATGCTCTGTGTGGTGAAATAGTTCCTTGGGCCCTGTTTCCTGGTGTGTGCTTTCCGAGAATTCTGAAGTGTGTCTGTGTTGCTTTCCCCTTCCCCTGGGATCCATCTAGCGCTGCACAGCAGATTTTGGCAGAGGTGTTAAAACCCTTGGAGATATTCAAGTTTAAAATCGGAACTACAGTGATACGGTGAGGTGATGGGAAAGAGTCCTTCCCTCTGCCCTGCGGTGGAGTATGTGCTTCCCAAAACCTCTCTTACAGCAGAGCTAAGGGATGTTAAAACCCATAGTCTTCCTCCTTCCCTTCGAGGTTGCAAATTCCTGATGAGAGTGCACTGTCCTCTGTAAGGGAAAAGCAGATCAATACTAATCCAAGCACCAGACCAGCCCATGAGCATTTCAGAACACATTTAGGCATTAGTGAATCACGGTCAGGTCTCCAAGGACACTGCTCGCTATGGATCTGTAACGGGAAACTCGCCATCCTGTTTTATGTTTGAAATAAAGCCACCAAGTCTCCCTCTGGACAGTCAGGGCCCTCGGCGCTGTTATCCCTGACCATGCGCACCGATGCTGTGGAGAAAGTGGAGCTGGAAACGGACTGGCAGACACCAAAAGGACCTTTCGGCTCTAAGATACAGCATTGTCCATGGGCCATTTGTAGCAAATCCAGTAAAAGCTGGATTCATGATGTTCTCTGGTGCTTGGGGTGATCTTTCAGCAGCTCTAGAGATCATTGAAATGCAGATAAAGATCTGCTTTGGTGGACCTGTTTATGCTTACAGAGAGAGAGGGAATGTGGAGGAAAGGACTCGAAAGCAGGAGGCCGTGTGACTTTTCAGTGGCTTCTTATTTGCTAACCCTCTCTGAAGGAGTGTGTTTGAAGCTTCAGAATATTCTCAGTATATAAAACACAGGCTGCACCCAGAGTGCTGCTACTTTTATGTACTGAATACAGCGAGCCTATTCAATACGTGCAGTGCATTTTCTTTCATAATGCAAATTGCAACACAGATACACAAAACCCTAGGAATCTCTATTTCTTTGCTTGGTAAAAATTATATCATTCCTGTTCCTCCTGCAGAACGGCAACATGGTGGGATTGTCAGTCTTATCTCCTCTGCCTGGTGTGTTCCAGATATTCAGAATTGAATTTGAACTCAGTTCAGGTATCACTTCCTCTGAGAAGTCTTCCTGGGCTTACTAAAGTAGCCTCTCTCCTGCACCACATTCTGTCTCCTACCCCTGTTTTGTTGTCTTTTAAGCACTTCTACCTGAAATTACGTCGTTGAGCTGTTTGGGGACTTCTTATGCATTCCCTCGATGTAGAATCTAAACTCCACAGAAGTAGAACTCCAGGGGCATTTTTCACCATAGTATCCCTGTGTCTGGCATGCAGTAGGTTCTCCAGTAATGACGTTAAGTGAACCAGGGCATTTGCCTAAATTGCACCACTGTGTGCTTTATTTTTCTGCTTGGGAAAGAGCAGCTGGTTCCCTACCTTCTTCATTTATTTGTTCGTGTTCTCTGAACATGTATGGAGCATCTGCTAGGAGGCAGGCACTGTGTCAGGAAGTCCCTGGTTGGGAGGGAGGAGGGGGAGAGGGACAGACAAGTTAACAGGCAGTGTGATGATCTGTGAATGGCTCAGTAGAGCGACAGCCAGGTCCCTGCTATGACCTCAGGAGGGCTTCTGACCCAGCGAGGGTGGTCAGGGAAGGCTCCTGGGGGAGTTGGCCCTGGAACATCCCGTCTCTCGTGTTCTTTTGGAATGAGTCCTCTCTGAACCAGGGGAAATGCATTGCCAACCTTGCCCTTTTTACTTACCATCACCTGATAGCACTCATCCTTTTGCTTCAACTCTTCGGATTTTTCTGACAGTTAAATTTCCTTGGAAACATGCTACGGTCTATTTCAGATTGCAGGCCATCCACTCTGCATTTGTCACAACTTTATCCTCCCTTACCAACTCCTCTTGATAGTCTGAATAGTTAAAAGTCCTGAATCATTTATGAACTGCCTTTTGCTTCAGGTGAAGTCAGTTAAAGTCCAGCTTTAAGGGACAAGAAAGCAGGGCATGTGATGTGGGAGGCATTGACATTTACCTTGCTGGCAACCTAGTGCACATTCCATGGCATTTCTTCTCTTAGTTTTCTCGCATTTTCCAAGCTACTCATTTGCAGTGTTTAGCAGTACAAGTTCATTTTATCTCACAAGTTTTCCTGAAAAGAGGGCCAACCCCCCACCGCCCTTGCCAGACAAAGCCCTCCCTCACCAACCACCATGCAAGCTGACATTTGCATTGAAAGTGACCCAGTTTTGTATTGGTGGTCTATTCTCTATGGAAAATGGAGGCATTGGGTTATATCGTTTCCTAAATTTTCAGGTCCATAGCTGGCTCACAGGGTGATATGTATGTGTGGGTGTGGGCATAGGTGTGTTATGTGTGTATCTTTTGAAACTCAGGTTGAGTTAATCATCAGTTGATGGCTTATTCTCTTCACTGATCCCTTTGGATCCATCAGTTGATTGATTGATTGGTTGATTTTCCTTTTCATTATTCTCCATTTCCATCCCGAAAGGCAACGATGGGGTTCATAAAGATCTTTGACTTTGCATACATCCTTATCAATGATTACACTGTTTTGTGTGTATATACTTCTAAGTTTTGTAAATTAAATGGGCTATAAAACTCATTTTAATTAACATAACAAAAAATTTTTAAAAAGTGATCCATTCAAAACAAACAAACAAACTCGTTTTAATCCTCTTATGCTGAAAACACTGTTTTGGGGATCTGTTCAGGTTTTTGGGTTTCCATCTATTGCTTTTAATTGCTACAGAGTATCCTGCAGAGTATCCGTTTTATTTATTGTTCCCACCAACAATGAACACCCAAGTTGCCTTCATATCCTTTCTTGTACTTAGTGTTTTCCTAGAATATATGCCCAGAAGTGCGATTGCTGGATTATAATATTGGACTAAATATTCCCAGCTTGCTCTTTAGAAGAGCTGCACGCATCAAGGATCCTCCAGAAGTGTACAAGTATTTCCATTTCCTCATATCTCTGCCAACACAGAATCATTCGACTTCTTAAACGTTTTGCCAATCTTACAGGTGTAAAGTGATGTCTTGTTTTGGTTTCCATAGTTCTGACTACTGATGAGTTTGAGCATCTCTCTATATTGGCTGTTTATATCCTTTGACCATCTTCCTATTGGTCTTCCTACCCATTTTCTTATTGATTGGTAGGGACGACTTCTTTATTCTAGATATCAGCCCTTGTCAGTGTTGGACTTTGCAAATATATTCTTTCAATTTGTTGTCTGTTATTTTGACTATGATGACTTTTAATGAACAGAAGTATTTTAACTTGATTTGATTGATTTCCCTCCTATGGTTGATGGTATTTTGGGTCTTATTTTAAAAATCATTCCTCATGTGGGATATGCACTTTAGGTAGTTTTAAGAACTCTGTAATTTGAATTCTATTAGGAAGCTTTAAAGAGCTTTGCTTTCCTCCCAGTTTTGTCCTTTTGTAGTCATTAGATGATTCAACAATGAAAGGACAGTAGATACAAATTACAGAGTTGGATGTGATTTTGCAGATGTGCTCAAGGCATATTGATTTTTATCTACTACAAAGTCATGCTGGTGATCAAGTTTTTCTAATACAATTTTCCCACCCTCTTTTAATCTTCTTTCCTGGCCAGTTGTGCCTGAGACACTTGCCCCTTCTGGCCCATTTTCCTTAGCAGTCTTGTGCAATCAGTAAAAAGTATCCCAATGGCCAGAGCATCACCTTTGCTGATCCTGGCTGTGGTTGGTGCATATTTGAGGTCCATCCTCTCCTAGACCCTCTGGAAGCTCAGAGATGTGCCAGCATTTCTTCTTGCCCTTAAAGACCCCCTGGAGGTGCTCTGTATTAGAACCCTGCAACAACCTTCATCTGGTATGGTTGCCCATGCTTAGATTTACATTCTTTAATCTAAGGAGCATTCCATTTATTTTTAACTGCAGTCTTTTTGGGTGCCTTCATGTTGTGATTTTTTTTTTATTGGATGCACCATACTTGTACAAATCTCAGAGCAGGCAGTTCCAGCTGTAGAATTCCTAGACTCAGCTATGAAAGGAACCCTGAGGGACATCCAGTGATTTCCCACTAACATCTTAGGGAATGTTTGGAAATACTGGGGGGCATCTGTGTTGGTCACAATGCGGAGGTGTGCTACTAACACATAGTACCTGATGGGTAGGGTGATAAATGTCCTAACATGCCTTGGAAGGTCTGAAACAATAAAGAATTGTTTAGCTCCCCAAATGCCAATAGTGCCCCATTGAAAAACAACTATTTAAATTCCTTTATTATATAGATGTAGAAAACAAGCCTCGAAGAGGTTAGCAAGTACCCAAGCTCATGTGGCTAAATCTGAGTTAGAATATGGGCTTCTAGACACTCAGGCTGTGGTCCTCCCATGGATACAAATACATTTTGTAGGGTGAGCTTATTGCCAGCTCTTCATCTGGGTGGCAGGAACCATTCCACAAGTACCCTATTCTTGTTGTTGTTAATCCTTCTCTCTCTTATTTCTTACTGGTTACAGCTGAGCTCGGCGATTATGATCCTGATGAGCATCCTGAGAATTACATCAGTGAGTTTGAGATTTTCCCCAAGCAGTCACAGAAGCTGGAAAGAAAAATAGTGGAAATCCATAAAAATGAACTCAGGTAATAGGGGCAGACATTTGGAAGAATGATGGGAGTGAGAAAGTATTCTTACTGCAGGGAATGTGGAAATCGTGTTGTGAAATAAGAGGATTGGTAATGTATGAGTGGATGGTTTCAGGTGGTAGAGCAATCTTTCTGGGCACTGACAAGATCCTCCATAGCGCAGGGTCCCCTGGATGGCTGTCTGTGAACTATCCACAGTTACTAGAGCCATATATTTTCCTATGGGTTTTAACCACCGTGAGTTACTGTAAGTGAAATCTAGGGTAAGTAAGTAATCCTTTCTATTGTGAATTTTGCATCGCCTCTTCCTTTCCTGTGGCCGTTGCTGGAAGCTTTGACTCCCAAGTAGGATGAAATCCATCGATGAGATTTCCTTTGCTGAGCTGCTTTCAAGGTGACAGATTCAGTGTCTGCTCTACTGCTTGTCTGTGGTGCTCCAGGATGATTGTGACTAACTACAGAGTAGTAACAGTAGAAGTAGCAAAATCGCATATCGTATTCACTGTGTACCAGGCACCATTCTAAGCACTTGTTCATAGTGACTCATTTAATCTTCACAATGACTAGGAGATGGGCGCCATGGTTGTTTCCATTTTACAGATGAGGAAACTGAGGCACAAAGATTAAGCATCTTACCCAAGCTAGCAAGTGGCAGAGTCAGGATTTGAATCCACACAGCCTGGCTCCAGAGTCTGTGCTCTTAATCCTTGTGATGCTTCCGCTCTGCATAGGCTACTAGGTATGAAATGGAGCATGGATAGGAATCATTAACAACTTAGAATCAGGTAACTCAGGTACTCTAGTCTGTAACTAGAATTTAGATCTGTGCAAATCATGGAAAAATCCACTTTGGTAATAATAAGCGTGGGTTATGTTATGACAAGTATGGATGAAGACCTGTAAGAACTGAGATGCCTCGATCTTCTGGACCTCTGGTAATTATATATATATATTTATATAAAAATATTTATTTATATATATATAAATAAATATTTTATATTTATATATATATTTATATATATAAATAAATATTTTTATATAAGTAAATATATATATAGTGCCACCAGATTATGGATTCTGGAACAAGGAACTGTCCCCCGACAGGGAGTGCTTGAATTCCCTACTTTACGCAGGCACTCCCCCTTCTGGTGAGTCTGAGCAGAGTATACACGTGGGCATTAAAGGTGGCAGCATATTTCAGCTTTGAAAAGATGACCTTTGTTCTTAACAGATAAAGATGATTAGACATCAAAAAATTGTACTGATTTCAGAAAGCAATGTGTCCTCTCTATGGGTAATTTGAGAGTATTGTCTCCTAATGAAAAGCTTTGTCGAAAATACAGGACACTGACTACTCTTTTTTACATTTTGGGGATGAGAATGGTAGATAGAGGTAAAAATAAAGGTCCAGTATTCTAGCTGAGGAGTTTGTGGATGAGCAGCGTCTGGGCAGCACAGAGCGAGAACCTCCGGGAGAGGCATCGCATCCACTATGTGGACTGGTGGGAATGGGAATCAGGGGGCCTGCCGTGACCAGAATTTGCAGGACCTCAAATGCTGGGGACCTGTGATATTAGCAAACATCTATTGAGCATTCCTGGATGCCAAAACACTGTGCTTAGTCTTATGTGTGTCCACTCAGTCCTCCTAAACTCTACAAGGGAGGCGCTCTTTTTTTTTTTTTTTTTTTTTTTTAAGATTTTATTTATTTGAGAGAGAGAGAGAGAGAATGAGAGAGAGAGAGCACATGAGAGGGGGGAGGGTCAGAGGGAGAAGCAGACTCCCCGCCAAGCAGGGAGCCCGATGCGGGACTCGATCCCGGGACTCCAGGATCATGACCTGAGCCGAAGGCAGTCGCCCAACCAACTGAGCCACCCAGGCATCCAAGGGAGGCGCTCTTGTTGCTCCCAATCCAAGGTGAAGAAAGCACAACGTGGAGTGGATTAAAGCCTTGCCCTGTTAGCAGCAAAGTCAGGACTTGAGCCTTGCTCTTACTTGACACCGACACCCATACTCTTTTTTTTTTTTTTTTAAAGATTTTATTTATTTATTTGAGAGAGAGAATGAGAGAGAGAGAGCATGAGAGGGGGGAGGGTCAGAGGGAGAAGCAGACCCCCTGCTGAGCAGGGAGCCCAATGCGGGACTCGATCCCGGGACTCCAGGATCACGACCTGAGCCGAAGGCAGTCGCTTAACCGACTGAGCCACCCAGGCGCCCCGTCCGACACCCATACTCTTACAAACTCCGCTGAGCAGTCGTCAGGCAATCAGTGGTCAGTCACGTGGGTGCTGTTGAGTGATCACCGTGGCAGTGGTGCCAGAGGGAAGAGGCTGTGAGAAGGAGGACCCGTTAGTTCTGCTCTCCAAACAAGAGATGCCATGGACCTGAAAACGGAAGAAGAGCGTTTTGAGCAACCTTACATCAAGATGGTGACCCACGGACTTTCGTGAGTAAATGAGGGCATCGAAGAAGATTCCAGATTGCTTTTTATAATCAGAGAGCTGTGGATTGGACCTCATGCCCAAACCTGCGTTTGTTGATAACCCTGAAGGTAGTCGTCCTACACCAGGGGGAGCAGGAGTGGTCATCAGTCAGCCTTGGGTTATAGATCTTGGACGTGAATGCCATGGCTTGATCGAAGCTGGGCTGTTCTGGAGCACTGTATATTTGTAACATCCAGAAAGCTCCTGTGAAGAAGTCAGAGTTGTATGTTGAAGGACGAAACAGCCAGAAATTATGTGATGTTGCACGGAGAGGTGCAGAGGGTATTTTCCAATGAATTTTTGCTCATCCTCAAGTAGTTGTGCCTTTCCTTCCTCATCAGTGCAGCAGAGAGAGATTATAGGTTTGGATGGGAAGATAAGAAAGAGCAGAACAAGCTGACAGTGCAGAGGGGGGAGAGACTTTCTAGAATTGGTTGGAAACCTGCCATAGAGTCTGAGGTTACTCTGGGGGTTCAGTGGGCCCTTTGCATGCAGGTTGTGAAAGTGTTGAGTTTTCTGGTGTGGGAAATTGGACCTTTGGTTGCATTGCTTTGCAAACCCAACAATGTCAGGAAGGAGTTGTAGATGGAAGAGAACCATAGCGTCTGTACCAAGGTGTTACCATCTTACTCTCCAAGGTCACCCCAGCACACATGACCCTCCCACACAACAAAGGGATGATGTGTGATCATTGAACTGTTGTCACAGAAACTACCTGAGAGGATTCAGCTGGCCTTTGTTGGGGTTTGAGAGGCCCCAAAACTTAACCTCCTGCTTCATGCCTGGTTTCTGAACCAGTGGGGAAAGAAAATAAGACATGGCAGGCGCGACACAAACTATAGCAGGAATGGTGATGATGATTTACAGTGAGATAAACATACTTCCCTGTGTGGGTTCACAAATCATCTTCTGCCTTTTTACTTGATTGGAAATGTTCTCCTCTGTGCTTTCTTTCTTTTTTTTTTTTTTTTTAAGATTTTATTTATTTATTTGGCAGAGAGAGACACAGCGAGAGAAGGAACATAAGCAGGGGGAGTGGGAGAGGGAGAGGCAGGCTTCCCACAGAGCAGGGAGCCCGATGTGTAGGGCTTGATCCCAGGACCCTGGGATCATGACCTGAGCCGAAGGCAGGCGCTTAATGACTGAACCACCCAGGCGCCTCTCCTCTGTGCTTTCTGAGGAAGGGACTAAAGCTGCGATTCTTGGGGAAAAAAGTAGCCAGGGAGGAAGAACCTCTCTGGGAGACTACACGCTGCTTGAAGATAGAACCAAGATGGCGTGATAGACAGCCATGAATAAGGAAGTTCTTTAGGGGGAAGAAAGACTCCCTGGAATTTTGAGGTGCTTGAAAATAGAAGACCAAGAGTATAGTTAGAATTTCCATCAACTTAGATTCCTTTAGATGTTAAGAGATTTGTGAATGAAGATCGGAATTTATGGTTGGGGCAACTTTGCTTCCTTAAATGTGCCATCTGAACAGGAGGGTAGGGTAGGGAGAAGTGACAGTTTTATAAATGTAATAACAGTTATCAATCATCTTTATATTAGTCAGGAAAACTAGTCAGATTTTGCTAAGGAAACAATCCCAAAATTTCAGTGTTCAGAACAAGCGAGGCTTATTGTTTGTTCTGCTGTGTGTCTACCAGATGTCAGCTGGAAGTCTCTGCTCACCACTGTCACTCAGGACACTGACAGGTTTGAATTTGCCAGTTGTTGAGCCAGAGGGAAAAGAGAGTTCCGGAAGGTCTTGCTTCAGCTTGGAAGTAATACTTGTCACTTCTACTTAACCATTGTGGCCATAACGAGTCACATGGTTCTACCTAATGGCAAAGAAGATGCAAACTGGAGATAGCTGGCAAACAGCTCTTAATGGCCTTTGCAATCTCATTAACTAATAGACTTTTTAAATTAAACCTTTTTTATTAAAAAACTTTAAAAAATTTATTTGGGGGAGAGAGAGAGAGCGCACAAGCCGGGTAGAGGGAGGAGCAGAGGCAGAGACTCCCTGCTGAGCAGAGAGCCCGATGCGGGGCTTGATCCCAGGACCCTGCATCTGACCCGAAGGCAGATGCTTAGCTGACTGAGCCACCCAGGTGCCCCCCAAAACTTTATTTTTTAGATTCACAGCAAAATCAAGTGGAAGGTACAGAGATTTCCCCTATTCTCCCTGCATAGCCTCTCCCGTTATCAACATCCCCACCAGAGTGATGCATTTGTTGCAATTGATTAACCGACCCTGACACATCATTATCACCCACAATCCATAGTTTGCCTTAGGGTTCACTCTGGGTGTTGTACACTCTATGGACAATAGTATAATGACATGTATCCACCATTATAGTACCATGCAGAATGGTTTCACTGCCCTAAAAATCCTCTGTGCTCTGCCTGTTCCTCTCTCCCTCCACCACAACCACTGGCAAACACTGATCTTTTAACTGTTTCCATAGTTTTGCCTTTGCCAGAATATCATGTCGTTAGAATCCTACAGTATGCAGCCTTTTCAGATTCTCT